AATTGTGAAGAATAAACTGAGAAGAGATATGAGTGGCGTGACAAGCTATGTCATGCACAAGGCAGTATGCATATTGTGAAGGGGAAGGGAGAAAAATGGTGAAGAATGAGGATGAGAAGGAAGGAGGATGGGGACGGAGAGAGAGAGAGAGAGAGAGCAGAGAGAGAGAGAGAGAGAGAGAGAGAGAGAGAGGAGAGAGAGAGAGAGAGAGAGAGAGAGAGAGAGTAAAGGGGGAGTTGAGAAGAGGAAGAATGAGAGAGAGAGAGGGAGAGAGAAAGAGAGAGACGAAGAGAGAGAGAGGAGAGAGAGAGGAGAGAGAAAGAGAGAGAGAGAGAGAGAGAGAGAGAGAGAGAGAGAGAGAGAGAGAGAGAGAGAGAGAAGAGAGAGAGAGAGGAGAGAGAGACAGACGACAGACAGGGGACAGAAAGAGGGAAGAATGGAGAGGAGAGAAAAAGAGAAAGGATGAAGGAGAGAAAAAAAGGTAGAGAGAAGAAAAAGAAATACGACAAACCAAGTAATGAAAGGAAAACATAATTTAACTAGACGTCGAGGCAGAGGAGATCCAAAGCAAGGATAACGAAGATAAGAAGGATAAGCTTTGATAACAAGATAAAACGCACATACACCCGAACACACACACACACACACATACACACATATGCACTGATACAAAGATTAATAGATAGGTACATAGGTATAGACACACAAACACACACACACACTCGCACACACATACATTGATACATAGATTGATAGATGGATAGTTGCATAGATACACACACATGTACACACAACACAAACACAAACACAAATACAAACACACACCCACACACACACAAACACACACACACACACACACGTACACCCCACCCACACCCACACCCAGACACCCCCTACCCCCCGCCCACACACACGCACACAATTCCACACCCACACCACACACCCACCCATCCACACAACACCCACCACCCAAACACCCACCCACAAACACCCCCCCCACACACACACCACACACACACCACAATTCCACTTCAGTATTTTCCAACTTCATTCGTTTACGGTATATCAGCCCGTTAATGGATCACGATGAATGAAAGTTAATAGCAATCCCATGTTATACACAGGAAGACCATACATAATATATCATATACTTTTAGTACAGTTTTCGGGACTGTAATCCAAAATATATTGCTTGATTTGAGTATGGTTTGTATGGTACGATTCACAGAATTGTACCATGGAGAGCAATCGTTGATCTGTTTATTCTTAATGAGGTAATTCTGACAGGTTTGTACCATGAAGAGCAATCGTTGATCTGTTATTCTTAATAAGTGATTCTGAACAGATCCATGAGAGCAATCGTTGATCTGTTTATCTTTATGAGGTATTCTGAACAGAGTTTGTACCATGAAGAGCAATCATTGATCTGTTTATTCTTAATGAGGTGATTCTGAACAGATTTGTACCATGGAGAGCAATCACTGATCTGTTTATTCTTAATGAGGTAACTGAATAGGTTTGTACCATGAAGACCAATCATAGATCTGTTTATTCTTCATAAATAATAATAACATAAATAAATAAATAAACAAATAATAATAATAATAAGATAAAGATAGAAGTAAACACACACACAAAATGAATAAATAAATAAAATACTAAATAATAATAACAATGAGATAAAGATAGAAATAAAATCAACTTTCATTCACTCAAAAATAAATAAATAGATAAAATACTAAATAAGAAAGTAGAAATAAAAATAAGAAATAAAATCACTTTCATTCACTCAAAAATAAACAAATAAATAAATAAAATACTAAATAAGAAAGTAGAAATAAAAATAAAAACATAAATAAAAAGTCTCCCTGTCATTCCCTCACGATGTAACTTCCATTCACTCAACACACAAGAAAAAATAAATAGATAAATAAAAACATAAAGAAAGAGAATTGTGAAGAATAAACTGAGAAGAGATATGAGTGGCGTGACAAGGTATGTCATGCACAAGCAGTATGCATGTTGTGAAGGGAGAAGGGAGAAAAATGGTGAAGAATGAGAGTTGAGAGAGAAGAGGATGGGAGGGACGGAGAGAGGAGAGAGAGAGAGAGAGAGAGAGAGAGAGAGAGAGAGAGAGAGAGAGAGAGAGAGAGAGAGAGAGAGAGAGAGAGAGGAGAGAGAGAGAGAGAGAGAGAGAGAGAGAGAGAGAGAGAGAGACAGAGAGAGAGAGAGAGAGAGAGAGAGAGAGAGAGAGAGAGAGAGAGAGAGAGAGAGAGAGAGAGAGCCAGACAGACAGGCAGACAGACAGACAGGGACAGAAAGAGGAAGAATGGGAGAGGGAGAGAAAAAGAGAAAGGATGAGAGAGAGAGAAAAAAAGGTAGAGAAGAAGAAAAAGAAATACGACGAACCAAGTAATGAAAGGAAAACATAATTTAACTAGACGTCGAGGCAGAGGAGATCCAAAGCAAGGATAACGAAGATAAGAAGGATAAGCTTTGA